GGGGGGGGGGGGGGGGGGGGGGTCGAAACGATCGCAAAGGCGGTATACTACGTATACGCGCCAATAAAATCGCCTCATTAAATTTTGGCAATAACTGTTGTGGCTTGGCTCCAATCAGCTTAACGCGGTCCATGTAGACTTCGGCGCATGCAGAATTTCACCCCTCGATCTTTTACAATGTATCTTTACAAACGAGAGAAAAAAATGAGTTGAGCAATTTCTGTCGGCAGGGATTTCTAGTGGCTATTTTCTACTGCTTCCTGAACACGGAGGTGCAGAACACGGTGAAACACCACATGGAGAGATGGCGAGAGGCTCGGGAGCTAGGGGCCAGCGGGCGACGCTACACGTTCAGCAAGGACTGGTCGCCAAACACACGGACTGAGAGCATAAGGTACCAGGTTAGATTATTTGTTCATTTCATTTTCATTTTTCACCTCTTCCTCATTCAGTAGATGCCCAGTGGCATTGCCCATTGGGCGCATTCGCCCATCAATAGATCGTATTCGATACATCAAACGGGTGAGATTGTATCGATATCGATTGGTTCAAAACATAAACATAGCCTCAAAAGTCAATTGAGTAATTTGACGGAACGGGATTTTGTGATGGATTTTTAATTCATATGAGTACTAGTTGGCCAAGGGAAGTAAAATTGCTACGAAATCTCTCGTTTTCAGCTTTTCTGGCAAATATCTCGACATTTTGGTTTGAGTTTATGTTCTAATGTTTTGATTCAAACGATACATCGAACCACTATCGAATACGATCCATTGTGAAAATTCTCGCAAGTTCTGGCGTGTTCCCGTCAGCGGCGATTCCAACAAATTGGCAACACTGGCAATTCTCCATTTAAGTCCATTGAATATATCGATTCTAGGTGAAACAGGCTGCTGCCCCAACTAGAATCGATTGTTTTAACATAGATCGCAATGGAGAATAAACATTATTGCCAATTTAAAAGAATCGCCACTGGTTACCAAAGAGAGCGGTAACACCCATTACGATGACCGACAGTGGATGGCGTGCTTTGCGATATATTGATTCATCCCCCATTTAAATTTGTGGAAAAGGATCGGTTATCAGGGTGTTCGCAGCGAACACCTTATTAATCGATTCTTTACCATAGCTTGAAATGGGGAAATGTCGATATATATCGAAGCACGCCACGCCACTGATGGCCGAAGTGCAAAATCACGTACCTCCGTTTGCTAAGTTGCACAGTTCTTGCCGTGCTTTGCGATTTTTTTGGAATAGTGGTTGACGTGATCTCTTGAAAATTTCCTTGATTATCCCTTCTCTGTTCGTAGAATATTCTGGTAAAATTACAAGATATGAAGCTGGTTTACTCCTCTCCGAAAAAATAAAATAGGAGTGGAAATTTTGAAACACCGCAATCGAAATACGTAGCCTCGTACTTTGAACATTGATACTTTAAAATCGAATTTCCTTCAAAATTCGCATCTAATTTAAAGGGACCGAATGCTCGGTTACAACAGCGATTTTCGTCCTACATTTTTAAATATTGAAGTTATGGAGAAACAGTGAGTTGCCAAATATCGACGCCATTTCGGATAAAGGAGCAATAAGGGGTCATAATTAAAATATGAAACACTGAAAATCTGATTTATTACCCCCACCCTCCCTCTTCCCTCTCACAAAAACACAAATCTGCACCCCTCCCTCCCCCCCCAAAAAAATTATGCAATGATTGACCTCTCCTCAAATCGCCTTTTTGTGATGAATTAAGACTGAACATTTCCACCTCTCATCGATTTCTTACCTTAGATATCCAAAGAATCTGCGCCTAGATTTCACCTAGAAATACCTGGATTTTTCTCAGCGTACTGGAACGGTATGCAACACCCGAACTCTACAGTATGGCTTCGCAAAAAATTTCATTCTCACCGAATTGAGAGAAAAATTTCGACCAAACATCTTTGCCAAAGGCAATTAGTCAAATCAGGCATTTCATCAAATTCCTAAGCCGGTTAGTCAAATTGTGATAATGGTTTACGGAATTCTGTAAAATGGGGGAGAGCTCACGGATTTTCAATATTTTGGGAAAAATAACTCTTTAAATTCACGAACTCTCCTTGTTCTTTCCTTTTTACATGTCCGTAGTACACATTAAATGTTCAAATTTTTAAAAATTCTATGTTTTATGACGTGCTGAAAATTTCATGAGAAATGTGCATTCAGGATCCTAAACTCGTTTAAAGCACTATTGTATGCTGCATATTTTTACAGATACCTAATTCTTTCTTACGGGAGCAACGAGTTATTTCGTCCTAAATTAGGATAAAATATCAAGATTTCAATCTAAGTAAGAATATTTGACTATTTGCCTAGGCATTTGACAAAATGCCTGATTTGAGTATTTGCCCTCGACATATGCAGAACAGAAAACATCGCGCACATAGTGCTTTGTCATACATGGTGCGACTTTTTTTTCATGTCTCATTCCGATTGTTCCCTTCAGAGAGTTTTGTGACTTTACGCATATGTCGGCGCTTGACACAGCTTCACTTCCCCAATTGTTGCAATCCACCCACCATCATCAAATGCAAATTTAATTAGAGACGATAACATCGGACTCATTTTAATTGGCTCCAACCAAGAGGCTGCGATTGTAGCGTTAGTGTTGTTGCAAGATTTCTCCCGGAAATCTATCGAATATGTCGCAGGCGAATAGTCGAATCAGGCATTTTATCAAATGCCTTGGCAGATTTTCAAATTTGGACAGTTTACAAAATTTTGTAAATTTATCGCAAAGAGCTCGCGGTTTTTCAATGTTTTGAGAAAAATGACTCATCAAATCTACGAACTCTACTTTGTTCCTTCCTTTTCAAACGATCCTCGTATGTTTAAAAGTGTAAATTGCGGGAATTCTGTTTTTTATGACTTTCTGAAAATTTCAAAATAAATACCGTCGCTGAGCTAAAGATCGTTTAAAATACTATTCTAAAATGCACATTTTTACAGATAATTCTTTCTTGCAAGAGCAATGAATTATATTTTGTCTGAAATTAGGAAAAGAATAAGAATTTCAATCCAACAGTTAATATTTGACTATCCGTCTAGGCATTTGACAAAAGGCCTGATTTTACTCCTGCGACAAATACATCACTAAACAAGGTAAAAAATCAAGCATCTAAATATTTGTTTTTCACCAAACTATTACAAATCTATCGACCCCAAGGAAAAGAAAATACGAGTAAAAACTGAGCGCGCCTTCAAATAAGCGTCTATGCAATATAAGCTACTCAGCGGTTGATATAGTTGTATCGCTCATTTCAAACTCTGAGCGCTCACGAAATCGCTATGATGAACGGGACAGAAGAAAAGATGAGCAGCAAAAAATTAGAAATCCCATCAAAATTTTACGTAGAATACGATGAACTTATTTAAAATTCCCGAATTCATTTTTTTGTGCTCAATTATTCAATTTCAAAATTCTCACTCGTCAAAAATGACTCGCAGATCAAATACAAGATCACAATCAAGAATAAACCTAACTTTAATGTGTTCACGATGAAATAAATCACTTGTTTCGCAGTGTATAGAATTTTCTCTTAAGATTATTCATGAAAAATTTCATCAAAAACCTTGGAAATTTTAAAATTAACACCTCATTATTGATATTTCTACAGCATCAGGGCTGGATTTAATTTTGCTGGCCTTTTGAAATCTTCTTAAACGGCGATTTTGTCCAAATTACAAGTATAAAACTCGGGCGATACTCTCCATTCAAAATCTTTGAAATTTCATTTTTCTGATTTTTTATACGAGGGGCGTTCAATAAGTAAGTATCCCCCCTCTCTAAAATCCATTAGAATGGACCAATTTTAAAAAACTTGGGCTCAAAATCTTCCTTAGGATATTTTGAGTTCAACCAAACCGCAACAAAATTGGACTATATGCGGCCGAACGCGAGCCGTTTGAACGCGCCGAGGAGCTCGACGCTCCCGCCGAATCCGCGAGGATTTGAAGTCCGCTACAGGAGAAGAGCTTCTCTGCCAAAGCCTCAGTCGTTCATCACTGACGAAAAATCAAAGAAATTTTTGTAGAATAAGGGGCTTACCTCACTTCTCCACTTAACCAGCTCGATCCAAGCAAGTCTGATACTGAGACTATACTGATACTAAGACTAAGAGAACAGCTTTTGGATGCCTCGTGCGTGGAAGTCTTTCAGCCGACCGCGGATGAAAGAGTGGACGGCTTGTTTGGCCTCTTCCACTGATTCAAAATTTACTCCTCCAAGTTCAGATTTCAGAAACGGGAATAAATGGTGGTCTGGTTTGTCATTTATTATCGTATCTGAAATCTGAACTCGGAGGAGTTAATTTTGAATCAATGGAAGAGGTCAAACAAGCCGTCCACTCTTTCATCCGCGGTCAGCTGAAAGACTTCCACGCACGAGGCATCCAAAAGCTGTTCTCTTAGTCTTAGTCTCAGTATCAGACTTGCTTGGATCGAGCTGGTTAAGTGGAGAAGTGAGGTAAGCCCCTTATTCTACAAAAATTTCTTTGATTTTTCGTCAGTGATGAACGACTGAGGCTTTGGCAGAGAAGCTCTTCTCCTGTAGCGGACTTCAAATCCTCGCGGATTCGGCGGGAGCGTCGAGCTCCTCGGCGCGTTCAAACGGCTCGCGTTCGGCCGCATATAGTTCGATTTTGTTGCGGTTTGTTTTGTTGAACTCAAAATATCCTAAGGAAGATTTTGAGCCCAAGTTTTTTAAAATTGGTTCATTCTTATGGATTTTAGAGAGGGGGGGATACTTACTTATTGAACGCCCCTCGTAATCCGTGTAGTTGTAGGTTACATACTTATAGTCCCAGAAAACCATCAGATTTTTTACTCTGAGCCCTTCAAGATGGTAATAAATTGACAGCCTAAGTCCGCGATCACAAATCTCTTTTGTGGTGTCTGAAAATCTCCGCCTCTGTGTTATCTTTTTTATAGGAGAACGAATTGACATCATTCCTTGAAGTTTTTGAAGAATTTTATTTGCACAAAGAAGAAAAACCATGGCAGTTTCAAAGAATTGCAGTTGAGCAGTTTTCCGTTTAAAAAATGCGACGTCGTAAACCGTGTTGTGTGATTGCCGACTTACACCGTCGAAATATAATTAAGATACATAGTGTAGAAAGAAAGAGGGAGAGAAAGAGGAACAGGGCGAGAAAGAGAAATAAGAAGGATAGAAAATACGTAAAAAAGATAATAGAGGTAAAAACGAAGGGAGATGTCTAAATGTAGAGATAGAGAAGACGAAAAATTTCTAAGTCCAAATTTAGATGAAAGGCAAAAACTTTTCAACAGATATGCAAATAGTGAGTTCATGTCCATCTGTATTAAGGGACATGGACACGATGGCATGGATGCATCACATGT